CCTTTTGAGGTCTAGGCTCAGAACTGCATGCTGTCACTCTGACATTCTACTGGACAAAGCAGATCATAAGGCCTCCCTAGATTCAGGGAGATGAAAAGTACACTCTACTCTTTCATGGGAAACACTGCCAAGGCCATGAGTACCAGGAGGGGTGAGACATTGCTATCACTTGTGCAATTAATCTACCATTCCCCCAGAACCTACAGCTTGAGTTACACAGAGTAGACACTCAATACTCAATGAGGATGTGAACCAGAATGTGAAAATGAGATGGGATAGCACTGAACCCCAGCAGAGGATGATCAAGAGCAAGTCCTGGTGTTCAGTGGAGAACCATCTGAAGCTCAGGATGGTGGTGAGGCAAAATGAGGAGGGATCCAAACTGAAAGTCCATAGTTAGACCCAATCTCTCGAGTTTCCTGGTCTAAGCCAGATTTAAATCTGCTAGGACAGAAGTTAAAAACCCTCCACAAGCCCAGTAGAACTCACGAGTGTGGTTCAAGTTGACTGCCAACAATAAAAAATCAGGTCCTCCATGAAAATTTAAATTTCTGACTTCTGAAAAACAAAAGTCTTGCAAACATTAGCTAGAGCTGGGTTTCTGCCACCCCTTTAGACTGAGCATGTTCTCCCCACCACTCCCACTTATTTTCATGACTTGCCTGGCCCCCCCTAAACATCTGAGTTTGTGACCCTTAGGCTGGAATAATTCTAGACTCCAGATGGGTGGGACTCTTTGGGAACAGAGCCAGACTTTGCCCTTCATATTTTCTTACAATGAACAAGTATTCCATGTATAAGAAGCAAAAATAAATAAAAGCTCTAACTTGAAATTTAATAATAAATGCAAATTTGTAATTAAATTGTTAATAGCTGAATGACTTTTTTTAAAAGAGTGAAGTATGGCATGTAATATAAATTAAATAAAATTAATTTAGTTAATAAATTATTTTAGTTTATTAAAGTAGTTTAGAATACAGTATAATTTACCACTAATCCATGATAAAAGAAGAGTCCACTAAAATTGTAATTTAGCCACAACTGGGTCAATAATTAAAAATTATTTTAAATAATTACTTAATTATTATTATTGTGATTTATAATAAGAAATATATATTTAATCTTCATCCCAGTTCCTGGCACAGAGTTCCTAAAACCCTTGAAATTTCCTAAATGATAAGCAACAAAGGTGTCTTTTGTTATGTTAGTGAGGTGACTTTTCAGAAGCCCCTAGGTAACCTAAAGATGGGGGCTGATTGCCAGGGGAACCAACCTTGCAATTCGAGGGTTAGACCTCACAGTCCCAACCCCTAATCTCCAGGGAGAGAAGGGCAAGAGGTGAATCAATAGGCAATGGCTAGTGATGTAATCAACCATGCCTATGTAATGAAGCCTCCATGAAAACCCAAAAGGATGGGGTTTGAAGACCTTAGGAGTTGGAGAACTTGTGGAAGGAGATGCAGGGGGAATGGGCGCTCAGAGAACACAGTAGCTTCGCACCCTTTCCCCCATACTTTGCCCTGTGCATCTCTTCCACCTAGCTGTTCCTGAGTTACACCCTTTTATAACAAACCAGTAATCTAGTAAGTAAAATGTTTGAGTTCCTTGAGCCGCTCTAGCAAATTAATCAAACCCAATGTGGGGGGAATCATTGGAATCTCCAATCTATATCCAGTTAGTCAGAATCACAGGTGACAACCTGGATTTGCAACTGACATCTGACATGAGGTGGGGGTGGGGGACAGCCTTATAGGACTGAGCTCTTAACTTGTAGGATCTGATGCTATCTCCAGGTAGATAATATCAGAATTGAGTTAAATTATGGGACATCCAGCTGGTGTCCTAGGGAATTGCTTTGTGGTATGAGGGGGAAAAATCTCACACATTTGAATTGGGTGCAGAATCATAATTATTAAAATAGATTATTTTAAAAATTGGATTATTAAAAATTATTCAAAAATGTTAGTTTAAGTATTTGACATTGTCTCACATTTCGCATCCTTTTTTATATATAAATTTTAAAAAGAAACAGCACTATCAAGCACTCTGGGGTCTTGTCTCCCACTGACCTAAGAGCATTTGACTACTAGGTCACATACAATGTATCCAAAGCTGAAGGTCCCCCACACTAACCTCAAGGAAAACAGAAATCTACTGTTTGCTGAGGGCCCTTGCTTTTCTTCCTTTCCTCATATTCCTTGGAAACAAAATTTGAACAGCATGCTTTGCTGAATTAAAATTGAGACAAATGAATGATGAGACCTGGATGGTAGTTACTGAGAACTGCCAACCACCAGGCTAAGATTTCACTCCTGTAAAAGCCCCACTCCCTTCTAACTGGTTGTGATACCTGGGAAAGAATTGCCCATTGTCATCTTGTCTGTGATGCTCCAATGGCTCACCTGTTCCCAAGAGGAAGGGAGCAGCTGTGTACACAGGTGCCTTTGCTCCGCTGTAGTCATGTCAATCTCAGAGCCCCATGAGTGCCCTTCTCATAGCATGTTTTCTCCTTGGCTTATTAGAATTCATATGCTGGCACAACATCTTCATAAATACCCTACATTTTATATTTGGGAAGAAGAGTTGACTTCCAATACTTAGGGCAAGTCATTTTTATCAGGCACATTTAAAAAAAAAAAAAGATTTTATTTATTTATTTGAGAGAGAGTGAGAGAAAGCACGAAAGCGGGTGAAGGGCAGAGGGAGAAGTAGACTCCCTACTGAGCAGGGAGCCCGATTCGGGGCTCGATCCTGGGAGTCCAGGAACATGACCTGAGCTGAAGGCAGACGCCTAACTGACTGAGCCACCCAGGCGCCCCTATCAGGCACTTTTTGATGTGGGGTGGGGGAGGGGAAGGTTGTTCAAACAGATCCATAATCCATTATCTGAGACTCTTGGGATCATTGTTTTTTGGAACTCATAATTTTTCTGATTTTAGAAAGTGTTATATAATGCATATACTGTGAGCATAATACTCTGGAGGGGTGCTTGGTCATCCTCATAGTTATACAAAGTAATGTATCTACAGTACTGTGCATGGATATTCACATTCAGTGAAATATATAAGAATTATAAATAACCTTATATCAATTAATGTCTATGTGTTTGCACCAAATTTACAAAAAAGTTCTGGATTTCAGAACTTTGGGGGTTTTAGAATGGCAGATAAGGGATCTTGGACCTATATTATATAACTAAGTCTTGACAGAATTTCTCTAGCATAAAAGCAAGAGCAAAAGGGTTGAACTTAAAGAGGGTGTTCTCTTTATGTTGCTGACACTGTCCAGAACGTGAGTAAGGAAAGGGGGTCACAGCACCTAGAGACAGATGCCCTGAGCACTGTCTTTACCCTGGATGGTCCAGAGCTCAGGGCAAGCACCAGAGACTGCATGAAGCCTCAAATGGAGGACATACAGCCAGGATCAAGATAAAAAGTAGAACGGGGAATTCAGAGTTGAACCAGGGCAGGAAGTCAAGCAGGGTGTCCAATGTGGACCAGCCTCACTGGCATCACCTGGGAGTCACTGAGACATGCAGGATCTTGGACCCCACCCAGGTCTCCTGAATCTGAAGCAAAGTCGGGATCCCAGGTGATTTGTGTGAAGCTTAGAAGTTTGAGAAGCACACACACAAAAAATTCCATAAAGGTTTTAAGGACATGTCTCAAGAAAAGCTGCCTCGAGGCTACTAAGAGCAGAAAGAAAAAGCATTAGTCTCACATGCTGTTTCTAAGACTAGACTCCCAACTTACCATTCAATAAGGAAAGAGAATTTCATTTAAAATCCTAGGTTTCAAGGCACCTGGGTGGCTCAGATGCTTGAGTGTCTACCTTCGGCTCAGGTCATGATCCCAGGGTCCTGCGATCGAGCCCAGCATCGGGCTCCTGGCTCAGCGGGAAGCCTGCTTCTCCCTCACCCACTCCCCCTGCTTATGTTCCTTCTCTCACTGTCTCTCTCTCTGACAAATAAATAAATAAAATCTTTAAAAAATAAAATAAAATAAAATTCTGTGTTTCAATGGGGCTCAGCACAGCAGAGCTTTCCAGAGGCAGCACCCACCGCCGGCCGTCCCTCATCCCAGCCACAGAAGATGCCTGGCCTTCACTGGTTTTATGATTATGGCTTCCATTTAAGTCTGAAGAAACGGTTCTGTGACTTTTAAAAGTCTGGGCATTCTCCAGAACATTAAACAGATAAGTTAAAAGACAGTTTATAAGGTAGCTAAAGCAATTTACAAGGCAAATAAAATTAGAACGAAAAGAAAAAGAATCAAAGAGGTGATACAAGAAGTCAAAACAGAAGTTAAAGTCGGTTACAGGAGTATGTTTAGTTCATAAAAATGCACTGAGGGGTGCCTGGGTGGTGAAGTCAGTTAAAGGTCTGACTCTTGGTTTCGGCTCAGGTCATGACGTCAGGCTGGTGAGATCGAGCCCCGCCTCAGGCTCCGCGCTCAGCCGGGAGCCTGCTGGAAGTTCTCTCCCTTTGCCCCTCACCCACCCTCTCTCTTCCTCTAAAATAATAAATAAATAAATCTTTTTAAAAAGTGCATTGAGCTCCTCTCTAGAAGTACTCGGCGGTGCTTCATGAAGCCCGCTCCTACCTCTCCTGTCCTCTCCAGCCCCCTCTTCCCTCTCCCCAGCCTGAAGCATGGCTGACCTTGGCACTCCCAGCTATCAATAGCTTCCAGTCCCTTCACGTAAGAACGTCAGATCACTGCATTGTAAACTTTTTCAAAAGATTCGCCTGTGTGTGTGTGTGTGTATTTATTTATACTGTTGCAGGTCTTTAGCCCTATTACGCCACACATAATCTGAACTTGACTTTCAGCCATGGACAAGTGATGTGTCTGTTTTACATCTTCTCCATAGGTAACCAGTGGATGGTATTTACCTTAATTTATTCCTCCCCCATCTTTGTACATCTTTCAAAGAGTTTCCACGTGGGTGGTTATAGAAAACTAAATGACCTAAAACCATCCTCCTCTCTTGATGTCTCCCAGCTGCAGATGGACCTGGAGCAAGAGTACCAAGACAAGTTCAAAAGACTGCCCCTGGAGATCTTGGAGTTCGTGCAGGAAGCCATGAAAGGGAAGATCAGCGAAGACAGCAATCACAGTTCTGCCCCTCCCTCCCTGGCCTCAGAGCCTGGAAAAATGAACCACAAGCCTCCCTCCAGTGAGGAGCTAGAAGGAGACAACCCAGGAAAAGAGTTTGATACTCCTCTGTGATTGTTCCTGCCAGGCCTTCAAAGCATGCATGGCCACTTCATCAGACTCTCTCTTACTACAAAAATCACTGCCCAGGAGCATCTTCCTGAGAAGCATCCCTTAGCCTAAAATCCACACCAAAGGGAGAGTTCTAGAAGGATCCATGCAAACATCCTCATGCCCAGGCTCCATGTGTTATGTGGACACTACTGCAGGTCTGCTTGCGGAGAGTGCATGTATGTGGGATTTTTGTTTTCTTTCCAATAGTAAATTCAAAGCAGGCAACTTCCAGGCTCCATGGGACATTTAATGAAGGACAGTGTCTTTTTTGAAGAAAATCAAGCTCATGTTTTTATTTGAAGCTCTGGTGTAAAGTATTTCAAAGTAATAGAAATAGTTTGAGAAATGCATAGTATTATTTAACACTATCAAACAGCCAACTTTGAGCATTCATTTTCCTAACTGCCCCTCAACTATCATATTTTCAAGTTAACGTGCATATTAAATTGTTTTATCCTTTGCTTTGCAAGCACAGGTGGCTTGAGGTTTGCTAATTTATTTATCATAGAGGCATCAATGTATTTGTTGCTGACATGGCTTTATTAGGTACCATAGTGATTCGACTAAGTTGGTTTTCTTTCTTGAAAAAAAGTCACTTGATTGTATCCTTGCCCAGTGAAGCTATCCCAAGACTTAGCAATATGGCTCATAACATTTGGTTGCTTGAGCAAATTGGCCACACACTTCCAGGCCCACTGTGCTTTCTGAGTTGACTATTTGCACTCAAAGTCTGGGTATTCATTGGTTGTTGGCCTGAAATTATTAAATAACTACGAAGAGTCTGTCTGGTTGAATAAAAATAGTTAAGCTGATGGATGTTGAGCAGAGATTCAATCAGAGTGAACAGGTTCCAGTGGTTATTTCGCTGTCTCACATTTTTTATGGTTCATTTATTTTTACTATAGAGATAAAGATTGAATATTTATCTAGAGAATACACAGACCCACATATAAATGATATATAGTATCCCCATGTATATATGCACACACACAGCCATGTAAGTGTATACACACTCACACACACACACACACGTGCGCACATACAAGTGTAGATGTGTGTTTTTTAATTGGCAATGACCCAAGTCTCTTCCACAAGACTTAAAACCAAATTCAGGGATAAATGCCTAGAGAAGAAAATGGTCAAACATCTATCTATATTATGTGGCTATTAAATTATGTTGAAATTCTAAGAAACAGTTGATGGAACTTGATGCAAGTTGAGGTAGATTTAGAGCTTAGAATATGAATTTGATATATATTTTGCAGGATCAAAAACTGGATTTTAAGTATCAGATTTTAAGCTTGTTTTAATAGAATATACAAAAAATGTATAGGACAGCAATATGGAAATTTATTAGTATCTTTCATAATTTTTAAGTCTGACAGATTTCGATTTTATTCTAACATAAAAAAATCTTTCATTATATATTTACTATGTACATTTAATTCACTTAACTATGTCTTTTTGTTAAGTTTCTATGTTGGGTGGTGTAAGAAAAACAAATTATATCATGGGAAAACTGATCAAAAATATTATTGAAAGAACTTAAGTAAGAGAGAATAATTATATAGAGGACAATATAATTTAGAGAGTAACACAAAGAACATTGAAGTTAAAGAGCTGAAGAAAGATGCTCATAGCTTTATTTTCCTTTAAAATAAACCTGTCTGATTGTAGCTTAGCGAAACGTCTTAAAATGCAAAAACCGGTTGTGTCCTGAAAATTGTGTTTCAAGAATTTAATATTTTTATGCAAATTATTTTATTTAACTTTAAGCAATAACTAGGGATCACAATTATGTTTTAATCAAAACGAAGGCTTAGTTCAAACATGAGGCAAGAGTGTTTGATTAAAAAAAAAACACACACATCAAGCAAGACTCAAGAGGAAAAAATCCCATCCTCTTTGGAGATGATTATATTTTGATCTGAAGGATTTGGGGTATTAATTAGACACTTAATAAAACATATCTTCCACTGAAAGATAAATCTTTTGTAAATCATTCAACTTTTGCACTTTGAAAGAAAGGCATTAATCGTAAGGAAGCAAGAATGGGCACAATTGAATGCTGCATTTTTATAAATAAAATAACAGACTGTCTAACATTGCAGAAGAATGAACTAATAATAGCATTCATAACCAAACACAACGATGATTATTACAGAACACTGTCTCACATTTTAGTCCAGAGATAGACAGAAGTGGAAAAACCTTGACTTACACAAAACTGTTTTTGGTAGTTGGATTTCATGCTCTTAGTGACTCTAGTCATTTTGCAATACATTTGTATTTGGCCATTTACTGTAATCACATTTTTATATCTGTACAATGACACTTTTTGCAGTTGTGGGGTAGTGTGTTACACTGTCCATCTTGCATCATTGAACCTACTACAGCGATACTATCATTTAACAATATTAAGATTACTTGAAATAGAGTAAGATAAAGAAAAAGGGTCTATATGATGTGCAGTTTTGTGCCTTTATGTATTTGCCTTGTTCTGTGTTGAATGTGTGAAATTCTGTACTGTGGATTTCCCTGTAATAGAGCGTTAGAGCTGTGTAGTAAATTAGACAGAGCCCCCCCCTCCAATACCCTTACATTACTGAGAATAGCGTGGTTTTGGCCGTGAACACCAATTTTCAAAATTCTAATGACATGCCGTGTGTTTTTGGTTTTCAGCATTTCACTTGAACATTTCAACCTCACCATACATTGATTAATGCTCCTGTAATAGATAAGCAGTCATTAAATAATTCTGAAAGAAAGGGCCGTTGCTTGCGTTACTTTGAATTTAATGTTGCGCTTGTGCACTGTATAAATATTGTTTGTGATGGATTGGACCTCGTGACTTTTGCCTTTTCAGAAGAAAAATAAAAGATAGGACAAAGTATTTGAAACTCTTAAAGTGTACATATTTTGGTTCTTCGATCTCAAATTATTTAAAATGCGTAATTCACATTTTTGTAATAATTCTATGCAATTTTGTGGCATGATGTTTCTTCCACTTGTAATTTTATGTGCTTTCATCACGATTCCAAAGGAAACAATAAAAATTTCTTAACACAACCCAGGTGTGTCATTTCTTGGTGTCAGAGCCAACCATTTTTTTTTTTTTTTTGACGGACCAGATGGTGGGAGTATGCTTTGTACCAGTCATTAGGGACAGAAGGCCCACCCTGATACAGCCCACCTGTGCCTGTACAGGGAATCGGGATGTGCTGCAATGCATGTGCCAGAGGACACAGCTCTCATTACTCTATCGCTCCACCATCCCGTGCAGGAATGACGGTACACCTGCCCATTACTTCCGTTTAGAGACCCTCCCTCCTTTCCTTCACCAAAGCTAGGGAAAGCAAACAGTCAAAGGTTGCTAACAAATAGTGGAGATGAACTGACAGAGTACTTGATGTAAGTTTTTCTTATGAAACATAAAAAGAATTTGCAACATTCTTCCTTTCTTTCTTTCTCTTTCTTCTTTCTTTCTTTCTTTTTAGGGGGGAGGGGCAGGAGGAAAGAGAGAATCTTAAGCAGACTACTTGCCCAGCACAAGGCTTGATCTCACGACACTGAGATCATGACCTGAGCTGAAATGAAGGGTCAGACGCTTGACCCACAGAACCTCCCAGGCCCCCTGCAACATTGATTTTTTTTTTAAAAAAGGAATATACGGCCCCGCATCCCCGCAGCAGGCTTCCTGCTCAGCGGGAAGCCTGCTTCTCCCTCCCTCACTCCCCCTGCTTGTGTTCCCTCTCTCACTATATCTCTCTGTCAAATAAATAAATAAAATCTTAAAAAAAAAAAAAAGGAATATACATGTGAGTTATGAGAATGTCCCGTAGGCACTCTGTATACAGTATATCCGTTACCTGCTGCTATATTACAATTAGTCCAAAACCCAGTATCTTAAAACAGTAAGAATTATCTCTTATCTCTCATAGTTTTGTAGCTCAAGAATTCAGAGAGGGCAAAGCAGAGATGATGTGTCTCTACTCCGCAGTGTCCAGGACCTTGACTGGAAGATTAAAAGGCTGGAGGTTGGAATCCTCTGAAGACTAATTTATTCACATGTCTGGTCATTGATGATATGTCAGCTGAGAGACTAACTGGGCAGCTGGGCTGGAACACCCACATATGTCCTCCCCACATGGACTGGGCTTTCCCATGGTATGGTGGCTGGATTCCAAAGGTGAGCCAGGTAGGGGCTGTCTCCAAATTTTTATGACCAAGCCTCAAAGTTACATACTATCACTTATGCAAGACCCCCATTCGTTTCACAAGCCCCTTCCCAGAGGCAAGAGGAAGGAACAAACATGGGCCCCATCTCACTGTGGCGGTGGATCACACCCAAGAGCATGAGGAGTGAAACAAACATACAGGTGTGGCCTTCTTTGGAAAATACAATCTGCCTGATACAGTATGCCCCAACTGAATGTGTAGTTACACCCAAACCCGCTCCACCTCCTTTGTGTTCTACATCAGTGAACAAAATCAGTATCAATTCAGTCACCCAAACCAAAGCGTTGGCATCATCTTTGACAGCTCTCTCATCCCCCTTCCAGTGAATCCTGGGTTGGGTCAATTCTGACCTGTGACAGCCCTCAGATTCATTCACTTTCTGTCCTTTCTGCTAGTCCCTAAATTCAAGCTACCACCCCCTCCCACCTGCCAAGGTTTTCCTAAATGGTCTCCATTGCGCTAGTCCCAAATTGTGCTACTCTACTAGACTAGACTAGACTGTACCATGCTAGTATACTAGTATACTATACTCTAGCTAGATTGATCATACAAAACCAAAATTGGGATTAAAAGCCTTTATTGACCCCAACTGTCCTCAGGCTAAGGTCTAAACTCCTTAATAAATGTTTGCGATCTTACATGATTTGGTTCCTACTTGACTCTATAACTTTATCTCTCTCTTTTTTTTTTAACAGAGAAACACAAGTGGGGGAGGGGCCAGAGGGAGATGGAAAAAGAATCTAAGGCAGGCTCCTTACCCAGTGCAGAGCCCGACTCCGGTCTCAGTCTCACAACTCTGAGATCATGACCTGAGCTGAAACCAAGAGTTGGACACTTAACTGACCTAGCCACCCAGGCACCCCTCTAAATTTGTCTCTTAATACTCCTCTCCCACACCACATTCCAGCCTTCTGGGCCATCTTGCTTCCTTGACTTTTTGAATATTATTCCTTCAACTACTTAGACCCTTTCTTTCTGTTTCTCTTTTCCTTGAACCCCTCTTCAAAACACACACACACACTCAGATTCTCTCTTTTCCCTGGCTAACTCCTATTCATCTTTAGATTTATAGCATAAGTTTTACTTCCTCTAAAAAGCCTTCTTTCATTCACCCAGGTTTTTGCCAGGCTTCATCATTTGTGTTCTCATAGCATCCTATATCAATTATCTATCGCTGCACAACAAATACCACCAAAACTTCGTGTCTTAAACAATCATTTTCATGAGAGACTATGGACTCCGAGAAACAAACTGAGGGTTTTAGAGGGGAGGGGGGTGGGGGGATGGGTGAGCCCGGTGGTGGGTATTAAGGAGGGCATGTACTGCATGGTGCACTGGGCGTTATACACAAACAATGAATCATGGAACACTACATCAAAAACTAATGTTGGGGCGCCTGGGTGGCTCAGTTGGTTAAGCGACTGCCTTCGGCTCAGGTCATGATCCTGGAGTCCCTGGATCGAGTCCCGCATCAGGCTCCCTGCTCGGCGGGGAGTCTGCTCCTCCCTCTGACCCTCCCCCCTCTCATGTGCTTGCTCTCTCTCATTCTCTCTCTCTCAAATAAATAAAATCTTTAAAAAAAAAAAAAACTAATGTTGTACTACTGTATGGTGACTAACATAATATAATAAAATTAAATTAAATTTAAAAAACAATAATTTTCTATTCTTTGTGAGTCTAGGGGAAGGTGGATGTTTCTGCAGATCTGGGCTGGGCTGACACGATCTCAGCTGGGCTCATGTGTACATCTGCATTCAGCCATGACTTGACTGGTGGCTGATCCGAGCTGGGCTCTTTCACATGTCTGGGACTGTGGCTGGAATGACTGGGCTGACTTGGCTCTGTCCTATATGATTTCTTACCCCCCAGCAGGCTAGCAATGGCTTTTTCACATGTCAGAGGCAGGATCTGGAGAATAAGAATGAGTGTTCAGGCCTCATGAAGTCTAAACTCAGAACTGGTACACCATTACTTCTAGCACATTCTGTTGGTGAAAGTAAGTCATAAGACCAGTCCTGATAAAGAGTAGAAAGGCACTGCAATATTATAGGGAAAAGGATATGGACACAGGGTGCTCTGTATGGTGCCCACTAATGCAATCAATCCACCAAACACATTGTACTTTCTTCTCCATATAGAGTACATGCCCACTCTAATGTAATGGCCCTCTTACTTAGATACATCCTTCACTGACATTTATGATACCAGGTGTCATGTCTCATTCACCAATGAATCCCTCATCAACCATGATGTAATCATTCAGTAAATATTGCATTTATGTTGAATAAATTGGTTTGCTCATCTACCTATTAATGCTCTTACTTGCTCATCTAGCTATTAGTTCTAAGGTAGAGAAAAATAAACAATTGATATAAACATAATAAGTGTCATTAACTCAAAACCACAGTCTTGTTTAAGGACCTCATGGGTCTGCAACTCTGTAACAGTAAGTGAGACCACACAGGACCCACACTCTTGACCTTTGACTTATGGCACTGACCCCAAAACATAAAACAGCGAGTGAGTGATTAAAGTAGGTCAATCACCAGATATTAGGTCCTGGGACACAGGTAGAGAAGATGAGGCTCACCTTGCATTCCATGGGTAACAGCAATCTATTTTGCCCACAAGAGAGAACTCAGGAGCCATTCTTTCTCCCTGGAATCCACACACAGTCCAGGTATTACTTTGAACATTCTGCATATATATTTTTAATAACACTTTCATTGAGCTATAATTCAAATACCATAAAGTTCATCCTCTTAAAGTACACATTTCAGCGATTTTTAATATAGTCAGAAGTTGTTCATCAATCACTACTCTCTAATTCCAGAACATTTTCGTCTTCCCAAAAAGAAACCCCATATTCATTAGCAGTCATTCCCCATTCCCTCCCCAGTGCCCCACCTCCTCTTTCTTGCCCCTGGAAATCATTAATCTATTTTCCGTCTCTATAGATTTGTCTACTCTGAACATTTTATATGATTAGATTTATACAATATGTGGCCTTATGGGTCTGGCTTCTTTCACTTCACGTAAAATTTTCAAGGTCTATCCATGTTGTAGCATATATCAGTACTTCACTCTTTTAATGGTTGAATAATATGCCATTGTGTACACATTTTATTTATTCATTCATCACTTTATGAATATTTGAGTTGTTTCCACTTTTTGATGATTGTGAATAATACTGATATAAATACTCATGCACAAGTTTTTGTTTGGATGTATAATTTCAGTTCTCTTGGGTATATACTAGGGATAGAATTTCTGGTTCACGTGGAATCTTCCCATTTAACTTTTTGAAGAACTACCAAATGGTTTTCTAAAGTGGCTGCACCACTTTACATTCCCAGCAATGTCTGAGCATTCCCATTTCTCCACATTCTTGCCAACACTTGTTTTTTGTTTTTCTGTGAGTAGGAAATAGTATGTCACTGTGGTTATGATTTGCATTTCCCTAATTAATGATGTTATGTATCTTGACCACATGTATATCTTCTCTGGAGAAATGTCTATTATAATCCTTTGCCCATTTTTTAATTGGGTAAATATTTATTTTAAAATCTGGGCCCCCTTTCTTGCTTTTTGTCCTTCAGTCCCCTTTGTGCCTCTCTACCCCAAATCTCTATCTTCGCAATTATCATTTTTCCCTGGGCCACTGAATATTTGGAGATTGTTTAGAAAATGGTACTGGTTATTTTCTACGTGAATCCAAAAAGTCATTTGTTTATTTTCTTTTTTTTTACTAAATGTCAAACATTTGTTTATTTTCCCAGATTTCTCTCTTCCTCCTAAAAACAGTGCAAAATAAGTCTCATAATGTGGGT